AGAAAGAGCGACCGCAGAAAATAGGCCTAACGAGATCTACAGTGGACGCGGATGATGCTGCAGTGCTGGGTTAGTTAAAAAGGCGCGGTAATAATAGCCTGTGTTTGAGACTATCGACTAGTCTGGAGATGTAGGAAAACCGACCAGGAAGACTCCGGCCAACTCATCCTTATTATTATCCTTATTATTTGGGGCCCGGCATGTGGCATAGACACTTTCCCAGGGACTGGTACGTCTGCATTTGCAGATGCTCAACGTGTGCTGTAAAGTTTTGAAATATCATTATGCTAAGATTTCAAACAAATGTGGCTGGAAAACAATATCACTAGAATCGTGCACATTTCTAAGGAACGAGTAATTTTGCAAAGATTCGTATACCAAAGACAAACCTTGTGTCTAAAAGCCTATAAACAGTAACTGTCAATTGGCTTCAAGATGCTCTTGAATCGGTTGATGCCTTTAGTTGATTTGAATTGTTTTCGGGCCTAAAAATTTGGTTATTGGGGATGCGTATACCATTTCGATTTAATTTTCTAAAGTTGTCAAGGCGTCCTTCACCTTACAAATGGTTATTTATCACGGAGACAGGTCAGCTCGATCAGGCAACGATTGACAACTTTCAACGCACGATAGGTAGGCAAACCTATGACGACACCGGGATATCAAATTGAGTCAGACCTTTACCTCGTGTCATAATCTAGTAACCAAAATAAAGAATATGTAGGACTCGGATTACGTGATACATAGCGGGAAACGGTGGATTTCAAGATCTATAAGCGACAGAGATCGGTAGGTGCTGACAAAGGGTTGTAGAACACTTTTCATCTGAAAATCACTGATTTATCAACAAGCCTGTTAATTTAGTTAGACCTGAACCATCCGAGCGTGTTACCTTCTTTTTAAGCGATACGTCTTAATGTCTGCTCTGTTGCTGCAGGATACAGAATAAGAATGATTCGAGTGAAAAAAAAGACTCGCCCAACAAGTGTGGACCATCAACACGTAGGTCTAGGAATTTTTATAATAAATAAGTAAAATATTTTCTTATGTTTCGATCTCAAAAAAGTTACCCCCTACCTCTTGGATGACGGTTTCATTATAAAAAAGAATAAAGCTCATAAAAATAAAGCATTTCGACCATAATCAAGAGATCCAGATCCTTATCGGCTTTTATCCTCTTAACGAAATGAACTAGAGCTAAGCTTGGAGCTAAAATTCATTCTTGAACTAAATCGTGATTTAGCCCCGCTAAACTTTTTTCAAGGATCACAAGCATAGTTGTATTTTTTTTTTAAATTTGTTTTTTTTTAATATTTATTTATGTATTATTTCATCGACTCTCAAATGTAATGCTCTAAGCGAAAATCTTAAAATTTGTTGTATTGCTAAATATACAATAACAATTATCCCAGGTTCTATAGTTGTTATATTCTGTTTTCTGCAAAAACAGTTTAGCACTACATTTCACAACCTTCACTTTCGAACCCCATTGAAATGGTTCATTTCTTTTTTTAATATTTTTTTTTTCATATTTATACGATCGCTCATAACCATACTACACGCACAGACTTTGGCTGTGGTTGCCAGTAAGTTTCAATGTGCTAGTATCTTAACGAAGCAACTCAGAGATCCGGGCGGCTCTCACGTCGGATACTGTAACATTATTAAACAATTAGATGTATCGTTGCGCGGGCCATAGGTCGACTTGGACCAGCGTATGCGGTTGGTAAGAAAGCCTTGCCAGACCATTTGTTCATCTCGTCGTGGTAACACCTAAACCTTTGCATTTTCAATCGTCGTAGAATCGTATTGATCTGACGTTCCTTAATATGGCTTCCTGCCGTGCGGTATCAAAACTTGCCGCAGTTACGCAGAAAAGCGACACTTTTTAATGACACGTTCTTAAAGCTGTAAGTAATTTTCACACACTCCTTGTAAATGAGTGGAACTTGTTTCTGTTCCCTTCAAAAGCGATCGGCGTCGTAGTTCTCCGTGAGAACCTTTGTTACCTCGTCGAAATTTCGAGTCAGACTGGCCATCATAGGAAGTAACCTAGGCTGCCTTTCACGTTCGCGCTACACAGGTGGCTACCGTGGACGACGTTCTATCACAACGAAAATTTACTCACTTAATCAACATGTGCCTATACATTTAACAGCCCTGTTCAAGTAGATAAATATTCAGCCGCTTCCAACTGGGCATACTCCACTGACAAAGCGACCAGCAGTGAGGACGCGAGTAATGCTAAAGTTAGTCATATGTCAAAATGTAAACAAAGCATACAATTAGCGCGGAAAGGCTCGCGAACATGCCGTATTTCGCCAAGTTCAACTTTGTACCAAGCTTTAAAAAAACACATACCTTGGGCCCGCGATTCCTTTCGACTTAAAGCTAAGTTACGGCTTCGATCTTGTAGCCATTATAGAATAACGAAATTGCTCATTGATTGTGAAGTTCTATAACGAACTTCACATTTTAGTATTCTAACGTATCAATCGGTAGCGTCTATTTGGTTAACACAATTGTATACGATAGTGCACTATCTTGGCGGTAAGGCTTGCTTATTGCCCGGTATAGGATAAGGACGATGGCTTACGATCAGTGATGATAACCATTTCCTAGTTATAAAAGTGGACTTAGCCTTTACCTCAAACAGGGTCCTGCTTCTACTTAGTTATTCATTGTGTAGAGTTTTACAAGTAAGTTCACAGAGATTTGTTCCCTCGTCCCCCAGAGGCATTTTGTAATGCCTGAATCCCTTCCTGTGCATCCTAGGCATTACTTTAAACATGGGGCCCGATTACATCACAACTATTACTTCCAGCGAAGAGCGTGCTTAGAACATAAATCTTTTTATACAGGATAATTTAGGATACTAGATTTCAATGTGTTGACGGCTCTGCTAGAAGTCACGAACTAACCGTGTGCGCCATACATCTTTCACAAATGTTTAAGTAATTAAATAATTAGGTAGATGTCCTAGAAAATAAACCAGTGACTGCATAGATGTACGTGGCTCGTATTCAACGTATTAAGTAGCTGAACAGTTTGTTTGATTTTGTCTCCTTCTCTGATGTTGTAATTCTCTGGTAAGACGATATAAAACACCGTTCACTCAGGAGCCCATTATCATCGTTCTGTACAGATTAGAAATGTTTATCTCAAGTACAAAGTATATACTAGAAGCCAAATCTACCATTAAAAATATATCTAGATATGCTTTAATACATTTTTCGCTTTTTATGCTTTAATACAAACTAATTTTCATCGTGTTACTTTAAGTTATCTTTTGATCAATATTATTTTTCACTGATATCTTGGAAATACACAAAGTTAATCGCTTTCTCGTTGACGATTGGGGAAAATCGATCCAGAGGCACTACAAGAGTATGTATTTAGCGCTGTCTTCAGAAAAATCTACGTGTCGTTCATTTATGTATATAGATAT